TGTCTATTATATTTGAGTGTGATAACTCTCAATATATTTAATGATAACTCAGAATGCTGTTAGTGATTGGGAGGACAAGAACAATGGAAGGCGTTACAGTAAACTCCCATGTGTATGTAATACAGGCTGTTACCTCCTTTGATCCCTGCAAACCAGCAGACCCAGCGACGTTGGAAATGTAGTGAAGAACACGATCACTCTATGTAGTCTCTGGCATGCAGCAGCAGAAGGGTTAAGAGCAGGCCCATGGGGTTTAGTGAAAATGCATGCCTTCTTCAGAAAATATTTACCTACTAATTAGCTTGTGATATGCTTGTGAGCAAAACCTTCTCGAAGGCAACAAACAGCTGCGCTTGTAATGCAATAGGTGATATCTGGCCACCAAGCTGTACGGTCAGGTGCTCCCTGGAGCGATGCGTTAAAATGGAAAAGTGGACCTGAGGTTTGAGAATATCCAAGTGGCACAAGTAAGTTCAATGAGCAATGGCCCGGACTTTTGATACCATGTTGTCTCCTCTCATTCAGGCTGTGTTTAGCCTCTTGATAATTCCTCATGAATAATTCTGTCTTGAAGGAATCGTGGTTTAAAGGTATTCCCAGATAACATACTGGTGCAACTGAGCATAGATACCTCCATCACCTGAAAGGACAAGCTGTGCTGTTCACAAACAACAGCTCATCAGAGGAGCCCTAAAGCAGAATGTTTTCTCCAGCCAAGAGCCGACAACCACTTAGGGAGATGCTACCAGAGAGGTTCAAAGTGTAAAATGGGACTTGGCCGGCCATTCCTGGTTTGGCACTGGAAGGGCTCTGAGAAAACGTGAGACGGAAATGAATCCAAACAACAAACAGGGAGCTGTGAAGAAGACCCAGGCTCTAGAGGAGACTCATTCGACCGACTTCACTTATGCAAACCACGCGATAAACTTCCATGTTCAATTTGATTTTGGACAATGTCAGCTCTGTGGTTACAGGAAATGAAAGGCATCTTGGAACTTCTGTTTTCCACCTGCCATGGATCTCTAATGATGACTTGGCCTGGGGTTTTTGATCTCAAGTTTGTCACTTTCCATCTGAGAGCACTGCAGAGCAGGGCCAGAAGACAGCCTCTTCCTCATCTGTTATAGTCCCCACCACCGTCAAAGAGTCAAGACCAGCAGCCAAATGGCTCCTGAGCCGTTAGATCAAAGTAATAATGATGGGATAATTCTCTTTCATCTCCTATTGACAATTTTAGCACCAAGTTCAAGTTTAGGAGTTCTACGAAAGCAGTCATCAAATCTCATTGTTGAAGGACTTTTTTCTGGGACCACTCTTGTTACCAACTTTTGTATTAGCGAGGATCCAGCAAGGAGGGGAAAAAGTGCCAGCGTCTCCCCCCACACAAAGAGAATTTAATATAAGCCATTATTAACTAGCTATAGGCAGTATTAGTGTAGCAATTCAAAAAGGAGACAGAAGAATAGTTTATCCCAGAAGTGGCACCTACAGGAAAGGAAGAGTCAGAGAGTAATAATATATATAAATTATGAGGAGGTGTCTTGAAAAGGTGACTCATTGTATGTCGTCTTGATGTTTTCTAGTGTCCTGAACTTGGAGGATGGCCCCAAAGGACTCAGAACTCTAAGGATGGGTGCTGGGTGGCTTGAACAAATCTGTCACGGAAGCAGTGATGTGGTTTGTACAGCACCACCACCGGCCTCCCCGAGCAGAGTGTGGAAGTAGGGGGTGGGGAGGGGAGCAGAGTTACAAGACCATAACCTATGCACCAGCATCTAGTAATTTCTTTGGAAGCCCATGATTTCTAAAGGAACCATTTTTTACTATTATTATTATTAGTAGTAGTAGTATGTGCATGGTGTGTGGGCATGCATGATATGATTGATGTACCCGTGTAAGTCAGAGGGCAGCTTTGTGGACTTGGTTCTCTACTTTCACCTTTACACGGCTCCTGGAGAGAGAGCTCAGGTTGGTGGGCAGAAAGTGCTTCACCAACTGAAGCATCTTGCTGGCCCTCCAGTCTTAGGAACTTTGGCATGCTGTCCATCTAGTTCTTTCATTCCCTTTTTGTGGATTTTGGAATCAGCTAGAGGTGGATTCAGATTTCCGCTTCTTTCTTAGGAGCTATGCATCAGAAAGCAAAACATTTTACCTCTTTTAAACTTACCCACATGTAAGCCAGGGTACACATATCTATTTCATAGGATTGATACACGGTTTACACAAAATAAATCTAGCATAGGTGTCAATGCTAAGTGTTAGCATGTAGGACAGTACACAGTACAAAACAGAAGTAAGCTGGTTTCCATCTTCCCCCTTCCTGTGCACCTTTCTCAGGATTCTCTCTCTATTCTGTTTCTTGTCCCTTATTTTTCCTCACTGTGTCTTCTCTCTGTTTTTTTCTCCTCTCTTTTCTTCTTTTCTTCATCTTGTAACTCTTTCCCCATCATTTAATTCCTAATTTGGTTCCTATCCCTTGGTTATTCTTCAGCCCTCCCATACCAATAACCCCCAATTAAAGAAATATTCCTACCTCTGCTTTGGAATTTGAAATGTGTGTCCTTGACTTGACTGTTGATGACCAGTAGATGCTGTGTGTAGGAATCTGCCATTCCTGAGAGTCGATTGCAGCCTCCTGTACCATATAGCAGGGATGTTCTAGGCTTCTGGGTTTGGAAATTCAGCAAGCATTGGCTTGATCAGTCACACTAGCTCTCCTCACTGGTAGGCACTGGTACAGACTCATCTATGTCTGGACCAGGGCTCTGCCATTTTCGCAGGAGTTTGTTCCAAGCATCAGGTGCATATTTCAAATAAGAAGGGTTAGCTGAGGTGATGAGGAAGGGAGTGTAGCACCTCACATGCTCCATTCATCTGAGAAGGAATGCGCTCTCAGAAACCTAACCTGCTGTTTATAGGCTTCATTAGACTGTCCTGCAGTTCTCTATTTCCATAGCTTCTTTTCTTTAAATCCGAAGCTTGTCTTCCAGTGACAGACTGCAGACATCTGCACGGCACAGAATGTAGGACACTTAGGTTAACTATTATTTGTTTCTGTGTCTTTGGCAGAATGACATGTAGTTGAACCATTTAGCATGTAGCCTTTTCAGACTGGTTTGTTTCATATTTTATAGTAAGCCAAAGAGTATTTCGTTGCATAGATGTCCCAGAGTTTATTCACCTACTAAAAGATATCTTGATCATTTAGAATCATCATCAGTGCAGGTTTTCAATGTAGATATAAGTTTTCATCTCATTTGGGTATATATACAGGAGCACAATTTACGGATTCTACGGTAACAGTATGTTCAGTTTTGTAATAAAGTACCAGACTACCAAAGGGCTGTAGCATTCTGCGTCCCCATCAGCAACAAGTGAGCTTTTCTGCCTCTGCACATCCTCATCAGCATTTGGTTGTGTTGTTGCTTTGGATTTAATTATTCTAATAGGTATATAGATTCTTCTTTTCCATCCTTTTCTTTTCACTGGGAAGGACCTTCGAAGCTCCACGTAAGGATTCTCTCCTTTGTAAAGCTCCTCTTGCTGTTGACATCATCACACAGACCTTACTAGTCCCATGGTGAAGCGATCACTTACATTTTCACATCATGTTGCTCATTCTATGTATTCTTTTCCATAAACAAATCCAAGGTATTATTTCCAATGTGGAGACCATTCAAAGACTCTTGGTCATTTCTGAGAGCTCTTGAGGCATTATTTTCTTTTGGTCCCTTTGTTCTGTCAGCTCCTGGGTGACTTTTTTCTTTTTCTAAATTGACCCACACAGGAAACCCAGCCACTTCAGTGCTTTTCACAGAAAGTCTCAAAGACTACATGAATTTCTTGACTTAGTGGGGAGGGATCACATAGCAAGATCCATGAGCTCCCAATGACATAATACTCTCTCTCTCTCTTTCTTTTTCTGTTTTATTTCTAGACAAAATTTTCTTTCAGTTTTATGTGTTATTATTTTATATTATTCTGGTAGGATTTTGGTGCTTCATGGCCTGTAGGGAAATAGCTTATTGTGAACAGGCCTCTCAAGATATATTGGCCACAAACATATTCACCTACTAAGGGTCCTTCTGCAAGTTGGGAAAAGATTATAATTTATCTCATTACATCGTAGCTATTCGACCATATGCTTTTTCTTTGTGGATATCCAGGTTGTCACAGATAACAGTTGGCTCTTTATCTTTCCATTTCTGTCATCCCTTCCAATTCATGCCTGAAAGTGGTCATTAATGCATTTTAATGGACTGAGTGATACATGATGCATGAATGACTTCAGTCTCTTAGAAGAAACAAAAGAATTAATTTAAGTACATTTTCTAAAATTATAAGTAGGTGAAATATTAGATAAACAAGTTGAAACACAAACCATGGTTTCTTTGCCCAGGATATAACCTTTATTAGGAAGCATCACAAGACACAATACTACAGATGTAATGGAAATAGCCAACAGGCAAGCTAATTATGATCCAAAAAATAAGGAAGGGATTCAATGTTCAAATGAGGAATGGTCCAGCTTATTTCTTAGAGGCTGGAAGTTGGGTAAAGAACTTCCATTTTCTTTGATGACATCTGAAGAATGTCTCTCAGCTGTAGTCTGGTGCCTTTGATGTTGAAAAGATTTAAGTAAACAGAAGATAAAAAAAATGGCCACCAAGCAGGGTGAGTAGAGTTCTGATCTGTTCTTAAGAACAGAGTCCCTAAGAGTTTGACAATTTTCGTTCCGTCAAGAGTTTCAGATACAGTGTATCCAGAACCATTTGGTGATCAGCATGAAGGCTCTTAGCATTTCTGGATCCACTGTAGAGGGTCAAGATATTGACTATAGAACAGACTCACATAGAGCTGTAATGTGCCTGTACTCTGTGGCCCCATAACAGACAATGAAGGAAAGGTTCAAGAACTTATTACTGGTCCAAGGTTGGTCAAGGAGATGCACAATTCAAGAATACCGTGTCCTGGGAAATTGAAAATCTGCAACCTGGCTCTTAGCAGGTGGGCTGGCAGCAGTAGCAGCAGCAGGCTGGACGGCAGCAGGACTGTCCACAGTAGGATGGGCGGCAGCAGGAGGCCTGGGCATGGTGCAGCTGGCAGCAGGTTGGGGGTATGCAGCTCACCACACAGCAGGGGGGCAGGCAGGTGCCTTCCACGCGGCAGTCTGGGCGGCACCATCTAACGCGGCAGCTCACGCCTCCATAGCCACCCTCCTGGCCACAGCCAATGCCACCCCCGATGCCATAGCCATAGCCAGCCTCGCAGCAGCTCGGCTGGCAGCAGCTGGAGCCACAGGTACCACCAGTAGAGCAAGTGGGAAAGCCACAGAAGCTAGTAGCACAACAGGCCATGGTGTTAGGAGTTGGTTGGGTGTTGAGTAGCTGGGATGAGTTTCTGAGTTTGGGTGCTGACCTGAACATGGGGCCCTTTATATAGTCAAAGGAGCTACTGCTTATAAAATTCTTAACATATTTTTCTTGTTTTTGTTTAAATTTGTTCCTCAGTGGTCCTCTGATTGGCTTCCATGGACATACTTGTGACGTATTATGGGAACGACTTTGTTTTATATGGTTGCTGTGACTCGTTCTATTGGCCACATACTCTTTAGGGGAGTGTTTGTGGTTTCCACGTTCAAAGAGCCTTCTCGCTTTAGGTTAAGGCAACGCCCTCATTCTGAAGAGTTGTCATTCCACTTGGCCATCTATGCAAAACTCTGAAGCAGAGGACAATTTGCTCCTTTCAAGTATTATTTTTCCCTCCTGAATACATAGACCAAATTCCACTGAATTCAGAACATTGGGGTATTTGATCACATGGAACAGAAGCATCCACCACATTGACTCCATTTGGGCATGGTATCAAATCATCTTCGTAGTTCTTATCATTTCAGCTGATTGGAGATGTATAAACATTATTTGTATTTCAGGTCAAGCCAAAGAGGTTTTTTTGTTTTTTTTTTTGTTTGTTTTTGACCAAACAACTTGGTTTTTCAGAAAGTATCTAGCCTGATTTTGGTAGAGTCTTATAAAATGTTTATTGAATCTGATTCAGTGGGTATTAACTGAGGGGGTGGAGTATAAGGTATGATTCACGGACGCCTGAACCACTCAAGAATGAGTAAATAGCACTTTCAAGTTGTAGCACCGCCTACAAAGGAGACTTATTTGCTGTGAAGACATTAGGGAATTTCAAGTTATTTTTGTCTTAATTTAGTGGTTGAACAAAAGCTTGGGGAAAATATCTAGGAGTTACGACACCTTGAAAAAATGTACAGCCGTTCAATTTTCTGGAATGTACCATCCTGTTTGTGATCCATCCTTGGTGCCAATTTAATGAGAGAGGTAAGTGCTGGGTACTTGTAAATAACCTGGAAAGAATTTTCTCATGTCTTCTTAGATTTATATATTTCATGTATCGTAGTCAACTGCTTACATAAGAGTTAACATTAGATGATAGAATCTATCTCTTTTTGTTCCAGGTTTGTGCTAACTTCTTAAGAAAGACTTTATTTAATTGACTTGTAAATTATAAATTGTGATGTTTCTGTTTGAGATTTCTACTGCGTCTGTATGATGTGGTGCTGGAACTTAGCAGTTACACCCCAAAGCTGTCTGCTTTTCTCTCACCTAGTACAGAGGTACCCCTCACACACTCGGCAAGTGCGGGCGAATGTTGAGAGTTGAAGCTTGTACAGCTGGGGACCAGTGGGAAGGATAGAGGCCAAGTTGGAGGCATTAAACCCAAGTTCTCTTGGAAATAGTATTGGTAGATATTTTCTAATCTATTTAGTAGATAATTCAGTTTCTTTATTTTGTGCATGGATGAAGAAAAAGATCTACTGTACTAAATGGGACAAGGTTAGAGCTGGTAGAAAAGTCCATCCAGGGTAATTCTATTTGTCTGGGTCTATTTTAATAAAACATTCACATATTTAAATAGCCATGAAGATTTTTTAATGCACAGAACATTTTTTATTAGCAGATGATTCAAACATAAGCTAATTTTCATACAACAATTTTGTTTAGACTATGTGTCTCTGCCTGAAGATTACTATTGTCTCTAGGTGAGCAGCTTAAAATTAGAAGATGAGCAGAAGTCTATTCACTGTGCACAAAAACACTTTATTTGAGAGCAACAGGGTCTATTCAAGTAGAAAGCATGGCTAAAGATGGGTGGGGACCAAGAACTAGGGAAGGAAGTCTACATGTCACTGGAATGAAGTACCGTCCCGTCCTGGTGCGCTCACTGTCTAAGCAAAGCAGAGTCCTTTGAACATGCTGCTTGAGGCATGTTTTCAGTGCACTAATTTCAGCATAGCTGTGGGGGTCCTGATGAATAGCTCCACTACTGACGAGCAGGTTAGCAACATGGAGATACTTAGCATCCACCACACAGAGCATTTCCTTAGTGAGACATGCAATTCCGCTGTGCTTTCCATCTTATTCTTAGCTACTCAGCAACCTGACTCTTAGCAGCTGGGCTCAGAGCAGCTGGGTGGGCAGCAGTAGCAGCAGCAGGCTGGGCGGCAGCAGGACTGTCCACAGTAGGAGGGGCGGCAGCAGGAGGCCTGGGCATGGTGCAGCTGGCAGCAGGTTGGGGGTGTGCTGCTCACCACGCAGCAGGGGGGCAGGCAGGTGCCCTCCACGCGGCAGTCTGGGCGGCACCATCTAACGCGGCAGCTCACGCCTCCACTGCCACCCTCCTGGCCACTGCCAGTTCCACAGCAGCTGGGCTGGCAGCAGCTGGTCTGGCAGCATGTGGGCTGGCAACAGCTGGTCTGGGGGCAGCTAGGTTGGCAGCAGCTGGATTGACAGCAGCTGGGCTGGCAACAGCTGGACTGGGAGCAGCTGGGCTGGCAGCAGCTGGACTGACAACAGCTGGGCTGGCAGCAGCTGGAGCCACAGGTGCCACCAGTGGAGCATGTGGGAAAGCCACAGAAGCTAGTAGCACAGCAGGCCATGGTGTCGGGAGTCAAGTTGGTTGTTCGGTGAAGAGAAGTTTCTGCGTTTGTGCTGCACCTTCCTTACCTGGCCTTTTATATATTCCCTAGAGCTGCATATCCATGTAACATTTAGCATCTTTCCTTGATGCTAGTTGCAGAGTCAGTCTTTGATTGGTCAGTATCTGAGTAATGGAGAAAATTATAAACAGTGTGTCCATCATTTGCTGTAGTCAGTGATCAATTAAGTGGCATTGAGCTTCCTCTTTCCCCTCTGGTCTAAGAGAAGGTGTATTGCCAAACACAGCAGCCCTCTATGAAAGTCACATGACAGGCTGTGGGCTAAACACTGTGCCAGCTTGCTTTGTCTCAGCTGACCTTTGATAACCTTAGGCACGGTTCATCCGGACTGAGCATTTGTTTCCTAAGAAGCCACTCAATAACAATCATGAATTCATAAACAGTTTCCTCAGACTCCGTAAGACTAATATTGGTGTCATCAAGACACGAGCTATTTAATTGATCAGCATCCAAACAAAGTCTGCCTTTCTGGGATCAGCCTGGGCAAGATAGAAGATCTATGCTTCTTTTGGTCATCAATGCATACATTAAAAATCAAAGCCTTTAATGACTTTACCTTTACATTGTTTTTTGTCTTTGTCATAATATACATATATATTGCATGCATATCATTATATATATATATATGTATATATAATGGATAGCATTTAACAAGGCCATCACCAATGCATGCTTTACAAACTGAAGCCTTTAATGACTTTGCTTTTGCATTATTTTCTGTTTTTGTTACATTAAATATATATTTAATGTAATATATATGCTATAAATATATACCATTTAACAAGGCACACCATAATGGAGTTATATAAAGAAAATTTGATGTCCCCTTTCCCCAGTGTGCACAGACATGCACACACACACACGCACGCACGCACGCACGCACGCACGTGCGCGCGCATCTTTTCCTGGGCTAGTGTACCAGCAATGATCAATACCAGCAGTTAACTCTTTGGCACCTTCATTCCTGCTTCTAGAAGAAATAACAAATGTGTGTTTGTGTGTATGTGTGTGTGGTTCTTCAACTTCAACAAAGTTTGGGTTTTATATACATTTAAATTCAAATTTTAATCATGACAAATACTTATTGCATGAAATTTATGTTAACATTTAAAATATTTATGTCAATCATCTTAACCTTCGGGTCTTATTACCCCTATTGAAAATTTCTTGACTATGCACAAGGATTTATTTCTGAGCATTCTATCCTATATGTCTGTTTTTGTGTTAATACCACACTATTTTGATTACTTTAGTTTAAATACATTTTGAAATCGGGTAGTTTACAAAATGAATTTTGTTCTTTTTAAAAAAGATTGATTTTATTTTTAATTATGTGCATGTGTGTTGGTATACACACGGGAGCACAGGTGCCTGAGGAGGCCAGAGGAGATGGACCCCCTTGGAGCTGGAGTTACAGGCAGTTGTGAGGCACTCAGGGTGGGTGCTGGGAACATTTTCTACAAAAGCAGCATCGAGGTTGGAGAGGGATTGCATTGTATCTGTAGATTTGCTGGTACTATATTGTCACAGCATAAGCTTTACAATCCGTGGATGTCTTTCCACTTATTTGTCTCAGCATTCTGTTGTTATTTCTGGTGTCCAAATATTTGTCCTCAGTCAAATTGATCCCTTCAGAGTTTGTTTTTTTCTGAGGCCATTGTAAATTCTTTCTGTAACTTCCTTTTCATATTGCTTATTGTTAGCGTATAGGAATTCGAGTGTGTGTGTGTGTGTGTGTGTGTGTGTGTGTGTGTGTGTGTGTCTATTGAGTTTACATTGGTAACTTTGCTAAGTTCATCGATTGGTCTTAACACTTCTTTTGTGTGCGAATCTTTAGGTGTATGTGTGTGCAAGATCCTGCTATTTTTGAACAGAGATAGTTTTACTTTTTCTTTCTCCAATCTAGTTGATATTATTTCTTTTCTTTGCCTGATTTCTCTAGCTAGTACTTCTAGTAGTGTGATAAACAGCATGCAAAAGTTGACATTCTTGTCTTATTCCTAAGCTAATGGGAAAAACCATCAAGCTTTGGCTACTGAGGATGAGATTAGTTGTATTCTTTTAGTCGATGGCTTCTGTTCTATTGAGGTAGTTTCATTCATTTCCTAGCTTTTTTTTTTAGTTTTAAATGTTAAAAATTACATTTATTTATGCATTTTTGTATGCACAGATGTGTGTGTGTGTGTGTGTGTGTGTGTGTGTGTGTGTGTGTGTGTGTGTGTTAGTGCATGTGTGGAGGTTCAAAGATGACTTGCAGGAGTCTGTTTTTCTCTTCCATCATGTGAGTCCAGGGATCAAACTCAGCTTGTCTGGCTTGGAAGCAGGAGCTTT